ACAAGATTATGATTTGTTTCTTTTGAGGTATGAGAAAGTTATCCATGGAAGTACTGTGGTCAAATAAAACAGTTCTCTCTCAGGTCCCAGTTTTTCCCTCACACCCCACACAGATTCAGTGAAGGCAGATCTATATTATGATTTCAACACATGCTCACAGTACATAACTAAGTGAGCACAAGCTGTCAGTGCAACACTACAGAAAAAATGAGATCACTGGTTTGACCAACAGCAGGACTGGAAGTGGGAGGAGTATTCCCATAACATGCATCATCAGGGAAACTATTCCTGGGAAATCAGTTCCTGTAGTCACTCGACAAAAAGTTTGAAAAGGAAACTGCAAAGGTCCCTGTATTGAAAAAGGCACAGCAAAAGCTGGGTTCCAGAAGATTCCACCTAGGGGGAAACACCAAGGAAGTGCAGGTCATTTAGACTGTATCCAAGCAGCAGTCAAGAGGGAATTTAATTACAGCCTACAAACACCTAGGGAAAGAGATTTCAGAGAGCAGATGGTTCTTTAAAAGAAACAAAAGCTATACTGAGATCTCATATATGTGTAACTGGAAGCTTAAGGAGGCTAGACTGCAAATAGATCTGACAATTATTAACAGTAACCATAAATAAATTCCCACCTCTAAATCAAAACTAACATTTTTCAAACATGCTGCTGCTCAAGTAGTAGTTAGAGGGTTGATGCAGAGTGATCTATTGAGACTGTCGACCTTGGATATATAGAAGTTGAAAAACCTTCTCATACTCTGGTATGGATTTAGTTGTTCTCATACAGAGCAATGCTTTCAAGCACATGGTGTGATTCTTGAGATGTCCTGTGCAGGGTCAAGAACTGGACTTGATGATCTTAACAGATCCCTTCCAACTCAGAGCATTCTATGATTCTATGACTTTTAACACTGTAGATGGTGACAAGGATTGACTGCTACTTTGCCACATAAAAATCACTCAAATGCAGGCCACTCCCACTAAATGGCTTTCTCCTCATTTCCTAAATAAACACACAAAAGAAAAAAAATTACGCAGAAAAAAAGTTGCAGGAATATGCTCTAAAAAATTACCAGTCTTGCTATGACAGCAACTTTTGAAAGCACAAGTAAATTTCTTCCTGTTTTCTTTAAAGTCGGGGCAACAGAGATTCCTATATTCATTGTTCACATTACATTGATTCAGTATTTGGACAAAAGACAGTAGCAAGACACTGTACCTCTCTATATATAGAAAATAAATTAGGATATGTAATAGAGCCTAATATAAATAATAAAACTCTTATGACTCGCATATACACCACATATACACATGTATATTAAATGTGTACATACATATGGATACAAATAAAACACATGAAGACCTACCTGAGCCTCAAGCCCAGAGGTGCCTCTGTGCAAAGAGACAGCACATGACACTGATTACTGCTTGTCAACTCCATACCTAAGCAAGGGTTCATCATAGCCCTGCCTGAGATGAGGGATTGATTTATTGTTGAATGGAGAAAAGTGAGAACCATGGTGTTGGGGGTTTTGTTTGGTTCGTTTGGGTTTCTTATTTGTTTGTGTTTTTCTTTTTCAAACCATGTAGGGAGATGGGCTTGAAGTTTAAAAGTTGAAAAAGGAAATTCAAGTTTTAAAAGCACATAACAGAAAATCATAACCTCAGCAGTAAAAAAAACCCAGCAACAATACAGGTTACAGTCTGGGGCCAGCCCCAGTTTTGGCACAGCTAGGAGTAAAACAGAAACACACCATTTCAGCAATCAGTCTGTCAAACCTTCAGCCAAGACAAGCCTATTCAAATCCAAAAGTAACTTCAAAGCATTCCTGAGCAGGAAAGAACCAACAGGAGGGGCAGGTGGGGACCCAGACAAGTCTCAAAAGCAGAGCCCTCTGGGGACTGGGAAAGGAATGCACCCAGCAACCTGGGCACAGTCTGGGGAGGCACAGCATCCAAATCACTGGCCAGCTGTCCACTGTCTGCCCTGCCAAGCTCACAAAGTGAAAAACACCAGAAAAATCAAATACACACCCTCCACAAACACCCCCAGCACTTGAACTGATCTCAGAGGATGAAGAGCCCCACACAGATGCTGCAGGCTCTGCCTTCACATTCCTGCTACACAGCATCCCCCCAGTATTACCTGTACTCAGCTGTCACCCATGCATCTCACATGTCCAAAACAAGGGACACCCACAATCCCAAAGTTTTTGCCTACAGCTAACAAGATCAAGCACGGGAGGGCAGGAAAAGAGCCTACACTAAGTCACAAGAATAACCATAGTGCCTGCTGAAACTTGGATCTTGCCTTGTTCCTGGATGCCTGACCCACAGCCCTCCCTTTCTAAAAGGCTGCAGAGACTGGAAAACTGAAGACAAACCTGCACAGACCACAACAGAAAATTAGGCTTCTTTCCCTATTTCTTTACAGCTGTCAGAAATGAACCTGTGCCTCAAAAGGCTGCAATGAGATCTCCCTTACCCATCAGCCCTATTTCCAGTCTGCCCTCCCAGCTTCTTCATGTCCTTTCAAGAGGACATTTCCACTCCACAGCTTCCTCCCACTGTCCTTCTCCACAGCCACTCTACAGTTGTTTCAAAAACCCAAGGGCTCAAAACTAGAAAGCAGAAACCTGGTGGGAGAGAGGTGGCAGTGCAGCTGGTGTGGATAGTTTGTACACAGGACACAGCCTCCTTTTTCATGTTCCAGCCTGAAGCCCTCCTCAGGCCATATGCCTTATTCACCAGCTCAGGCAAACAAAAGTGATCAGCCAGCTGCAAGCAGGCAGGTCAAGCCTGTAAATCTCTCTCCCTCTAGTTTTATCTGTTTAAGAATAGATTCTTGCTGTGGGGAGAAACCAAATAATGCATTAAATGCCAGATGTCTTGTACATATATGCTTTAAAACTGACACCTTCAGAGACCCCACACTATCAACAGGCTGCAAGTATTCAAAAAATTATTCTGTACAAAGCTAGGGAAATGGCCTCAATAAAGTGAAGTCAGAAAAGCAGGGAAAGTCAGTGTCTAGACCTTGACTTTATGGACACTTAAATGTGCTCTCACATTGAACTTAACAGGACTTCTTGGAAAAGTTAAACCCAGACTTACGAGTTTCCTAGGTTTTACAGTTCCAGCTCTTTTTAGAAAAACTTTATATAAAATTTATAATTACAGGAATAGGTCAATTCAGCAGCTGCAGAAATCACAGTAATGGGCAGGCAGTGGCCAGCAAGAAACAGCTCACAGCAGAAATTACTTGTTCCCCTGCAGGAGTGGGCAGGAAAATTGAATCAGAGCAACCAATCACTCCACCATAATGGCTGAGAGGAAACATTAAATAACATTTTCTGTAAGGCAGTGGAAGACTTGGGGCAAGAGGGGGAGGTGAAACAAAAGATAGAAACAGACACTGAAAGGTTTAAACCTGTCTTGAAGATCATGACCTGAACAAGGCCAGCCTATTTCTCAGCCTCCCTGCATGCTGAAGCTCAAAAACCATGCCTCACCATGGAAAAACCATGAAAACACTGCAAGAGCTCACCCATCTACCCACTGGGATGGGCATTTGGAGAATGCAAATTTTTTGGACATTCCATTTATGTCTCAGCTCCTGCCACTCCAAAAAACCCCTCCCAGCTCCCCAGCAGCAGAGGATTATGCTGGAACATAAAACCTCCCTGTTCACACTCTGTACTTTCTGGTCCCCAAAAGGACATTGGTGCTCCCAGTGTCTGTGCCCTTACTCCTTCATCAGAGTTGTCAGGAGCACTGTGTACCTTCACTGTCTAATAACAGAGAGATGCTTTCAATCTCCAGCGTCAAACCCTGCAGTACTGCTATCCACAAAATCCTCTTTTCCTGCTCTCACAGATTCAAGGAATGAAAAATCATCAGGGTGATGCCTTTGATGTTCTATCAGACAGCCAGGTTCACTCTAACACTGCAATTTCCTTAAGTATCTCTATGAGCTTCACTGTTTTGAAGTCAATAGGTGCAGAAAGGTCATAAGCATGATTATGGGGTTAGGATTAAATAAAATCCCAAACACCAAGAACAGCTATTCCTCCTCCTCTCTTATGAAACACTCTGCAGAGTGAACATAAGACAAAATGTTTTCAATTCATTTTCTATTTTTAAGCCAACTCGTTAATGTTTCTTAGCTTTTTAAAACATCATTTGACTACAGCTCTTACAGTGGTCTCAGCAGCATGAATTTCTTCATTAATTTTCCCCAAAGGAAACTCCCTCAGTTTTAGCCTAATTTGAAGCTTCCCCTTATTAACTTCCAGAAAAGCTTGGTTTCTGATGTTCCTTGTGCTTGTTTTCCCTTCCACAATTAATACCTCTGGTATGTGTTAATTTAGAAATATCTATACAAAACAGCTAGGAAATAAAAAAACTGAAGACTTTCTGAAGATGATGTTTCCTAATCATTTCCAAAAATCCTGTCCCACATTGAAAAATCCTTCTCACAAGTTTTCTTAGTTGTAAAATCTCTAAGATTTCATCTTGTTCCAACAGAGCACTTTGGACTACAAAACTGACAGCCTTTGAAGACCTCTCTGGTGGATCTTCACAGTTTAGCTGGTCAGTGCTTAGCCAAAAGCACTAATCTCTCTCCCTTTTATTGTAATGCAGCTTAACACTCCACTGCTTTGTACTGTAAAGCTAATGGTGAAGATAAACCAATTATTAGAAGTCAAAGTCTGGCATTGCAATTATTCCTTACAGTTACCAGATAGTCATGGTCTTGTTCCTCCACCAACCACTTCACAGCAGAACAAGAAGGTTGGATCTCCTCCTCCCATCATTCTTGTCTTTCCCCCTTTTTCCCTCCAGATGTTTATAAATGCTGAATTCCAGATAGCTGTTAAAAATGTTAAGGACATTGTATGCATTTGTATGCATTGCCATTTTCCACAGCCACAGTTCCACCAGGAGCATTTAATTACTGCATCCTCACAACAAATGAACATGGGCTCAGTGTGTTGTACCTTCATTAAAGTTGTCATCAGTCGAGATGTGGGTCAAGGGAGACTGGGGTCGGGAATCCCCACAGAGGGAGTAGCTGTGCTCAGCCTGGATGAGGGGCGCTGGGGATGCCGGAGACAGTTCCACTTCCATGATTTCATTCTTCTCAGACAAGAAGGGATCATTCAAGAGCTGGCCTAGGACATCAGGTGAAAATTCATCCAGAAACTCTGTGAAGTGCTGTGGAGATAAAAAAACAGGGGAAAGTTTATCTCCTTGTCTGTCTGTAATGCCAACCACAGGAGGGAATAGATGAGAACAATTCTATATGTGCACTGGGCATTGGTGCCAGTCAGCAGCAGCATCTACCAGCCCTGTCTAACAACCTCCTCCTCCAATCACTACTTCACACTAAAGAGCTACAGCAGCTAGAACAAAAGTCCTCTCAGAGGCATACATTACAACAGAAGAGCCTGTCACTAAACTGCAACAAAAATGGAAAATGGAAGCATGGTACTCATGTCCTGAAGCAGTCTCCTCCCACCACACCAAAGGTACTCACTATGGCGCACCACCAAAAATGGGAAAGCACAATTCCCTCAGAGAGAGTGAAAGATCCTGCAGGATCTATCACTAGAACATGTTGTGTATGGAATAGAATATAGGGGGTTAATGCTCACTGAAGCACAGAAGAAAAATGAAACACATTCCTGCACAGACTCTGACACCACATATGACTATTTTAGCAGTGCAGAACATTCCCTGTGCTCCAGGGAAACAGGTCCATGCACATCCGCAGCCAAGCAATTAACACATTTGCTATAAAACGGGTTTCCTGATTGATTTATGCATCTATTTTAGAAGCAGTATTCCACCTAGAGCCCATACCCAGCTTCTAGGCCCCAGAGCTAAAGCTCCTGACAGCCAGTACTAATTACCACTTTGTCTATTGCACTGAATTAATTACACCAGCAGCACATGTTAGATCTGTATGCAGAGTAATTTCATGTTTGTTTATTATTCAAAATGAGCACAAACCAAACCTGTCAATCTATTTCCTCCAAACTCCAATGCAGTTCCTGTCAAAAACTTTGTCCCTTCATCATCTTTCCAATGTCAGAGGAAAAATCTGCACTGCAACAAATCATTCCTGTTCATCTTATTCACACAAAGAATTCTATTTTTGTAAAAAAATACTTGCACAGTGAATTGTAATGAGATTCTCTGAACAATGAACCATTATCTACTATCTTATATAGAATCTTTGTCAGCTGAGGCACAATGCTATAAAAGTCTAAGTTTGTTTGATTTGTTTAGTTTTTGCAAGCAGTATTGATCTTGGCTCTTCATCATGCTCTCTCCTGCAGAAACAAACACTGAAATTCAAGATTCAGCTTCCTGTAAGCTAAATTAAAAATTAAACAAGTCAATATTGTACAAACCCACAAGGGAAGCGTGTGCTCACGCCCTCACACACTCACATTTCACAGCTCCAGCAGCACCTGTGGCCTTGAAGCCTCATGCTGAAAACCCTGAGCACAGCTGGCTCTCACAGAGTTCCTGGATGGCAAACACCTCTTCCAAATGCTAACCCTGCCGTTTTTCAAAATGAGTGAGTCTTGAGTTAATTCTGACCGACAGTGAAGAAAAGAAAATATTGACTGAATGCAAGGCAATAAACAGAGGCAATAAACAGCGGCTATGCTGGAATAACAAAGTAGCTCAAGAAAAGCCTTTACAAATGGCAAAACACATCTGTAGCCTCATATTTACTTACTGTAAATCATAACACTAATAAACTCTTAGAGGACTCTACTAGAGAGTCATGACCACCTTAGAAAGCATAGTTTGTTTTAATTTTGATACCCAAGGACTCACTAGCACTTCACAACCAGGTGCTTCTCAAGAAGGATAGAAGTATGAACTACAACACCCCACTATGCAAAGAAAAAAGAAAAAGGATGCACAAGAGTGCTTGAACATTCTGGTACGTCAATAAAGACACTGAATAAAACAGGTGGGCAGCCATTATTGTGTAAACAGGGCACAGAAATACTTCCCAGACACTAAAGAAGACAAGGATTAAACTATAAAAAAGCAGCTCCTTTCTCAGGGACAATGCTTTTCCCTCCAGTCTACACACCTCTTTTCATCTGGAGAAATAGCAAGAATCAATTATATTTGTTTACATATTTTCCTAAAGCTGGAGAATTTCCTTCTTTCTAATTCTTGCATGCATTATTCTGACTGATGAGTAGCAGATGCTGGAATATGGCTGCTACAATATTTGTGCCGTGGGTTCCACATGCAGCTGCTTTACCACCAGTGTCATCCAATTTCAGGATGTCATCCTTGAAAATATCATGCCTATGTGTTGACTTAGTCTGACACTATTTAGATGCTATAACTTAACAGACTCAGCTTAAAGAAACATGGCCACAGGCTACTCAGCTATTTTTGGAAAATTCACAAATAAAGATTTTTATTAGCCTTCTGTCACTGTTTTGATATGGAATAAAAGCTTATCAAATGTTATTTTACTTTTCCATTTGACTGAATTTAGGCTTCATTTTCTTTTTCCTTTCTGAATGGGGAATTCTACTAAAACCACTTCAGGAAAAGTGAAGGAGGAAACAAACATTCAACTTCAGAATACCAAAGAGAAAGAGGACCTCAGGGTGGGGAAGGATATTCAAACACCTCTGTCAATATTTGTGCTTTCTCCTTTTGTGCAGCTGCAAAGCAGCAAGCTGTGAGCAAGAAAAGAATATGCATTTATAACAGAATTATCTGAGAGCAAATAAATGGATGGTTTCTAAAATTATTTTCTAGTTTCATTACATATCAAGTTTATTTTTAATGGTCTGTGATGTAACATTGTACACTGGCCAATAGAGACTGCCACGGGTCAGACTGTGCAGCTACTGAACTCAGCAAACAGACAATTTTAGGGATCTGGACTCTGATCAAAAAAATCACAGACTCCTTGATTTACAATAATCTTTCAGATGTTATACACTTCTCTACTACAGTGAATGCTTAAAGCTAGATCACTTATTAACCCAAATAAAACAATTGTCTCATTGAATGTGGCTCAGTTTGCTTAGGGAACTAAAGAAGAAAAGGCATCAGAGCAGCAGCTAAAGCAGAAACCACCCGGGGGCAGCCAGACCTCCAGCTCCCCAAAACTTCCACCTACACCTAAGCTGCTCCTTCTGTCTTTCCAAAGCACATTCTCCCATTGCCAATTCCTCTCCTCCTGCTCCTCTCCTCTCTGCTTCCACATGCACCTCAGCAGTCAGCAGCCACTTCCATAGCTGGAAAACCCCAGAATAACCCTCAATTTTGACACAGCACCAACCACCCCTGAACTCAGGAACAGGAAAGGGCAATTTGGGAAGGAAACTGAGACTCTGACCCTTAGAACCTGTTTGCAAAAGAAATAATTTTTTTTGTCTGTGGTTTTCAGCTGGGTATCTTTCACTCAGAGAGTTCATCTTTACAAATATTTTAAAAACAGAGGAAAGAGTACTTGCACTGAGAATCTGCCTTTTCCCCCCTCTTTTCCCTTTTTGTTGTTAATACCTCTGTAGACAGCTCAGCTGCCAGATTCCTGCTATCCTCACACCCCACTGGCAGCCCCAGCACTAATTGCAGACATGTGTTAGTACAAGGAGTCCGTTTGAATTATTAAACTATTCTCACCACATAGCAAAAAGATGTGTTCAGCTAGGATTTTAACCTCTGTAAAAAGTCAGGGATTTAGGACAAATGTAACCTTATCTTCCACCTCCCCTTCCCCCAGAACCCTGAAAAGAAAAACAAAACAGAAAAACAGCAGCACTCCTGTCTACATACGGAAAGTAAATTGCAGCCCTGAGGAGTTTCAGCATTCATCTGGCTGGATATTGGCTCATGCCTACATCCTGGGTGTTTTTGGGGAACACAAACACCTCCAGACATCCTGCTGCAGTGAGCAAACAGAGGAAAGGTCTCACATCCGGGTGCCCAGCAGATTTTTGGACAGCTCTTGGAAAGTAGCATTTGGCTGCACACCAGCTATGCCGCGGGCTGCAGCTCTGCACAGCATCTGCCTGTTCCTGCCACACAAAGGCCCTTTTCTCCAGCTGCCTCAGGGACCAGGGTGTTTTTTATTTCTTGTCTGATCAAATGAAAATCTGTGAAGCAAAACACTCAGGTTTTGCTAGGTGCATGGCAGTGCTGACTTCTCCACCAGCTAACCTGAAGCCAGATGAGAACAGCACTAGCCCAGTTGCTCATTTGAAGATGATACCATGCCTAAAAATTAAAGTCATCTTTAGAAAATTGACCTTCTAAGAACTCATTACAAAAGGAATGCAGAGAAGTCAAGAGCCCAAAATGATACTTCCCAATTATATTTAGATTTTTAAACAAGCAGCAGGCTTTGCTGAGCCTGCAAAATGCACTGCATCAGCCACAAGTGCCACACACCAGTTGTAGCAGCACAATCCCCCTTTTCCAGCAGAGCCATGCTAGAGGGGAGCTGCAGTGACACCACCTTTTGCACACTGCAAAACAAGCTCAGCTCTCCCAGCAGACCAGGGTAAGGCTGCCATGCAACATGCCAGGGTTATAAGCACCCACAAATTCAAGAGATCACCCTCCTGGGAGTTAGTGGCTCCCTCCTGGCTCATCCCAAAATCTCCCCATCCTGAAGGGATCCGTCACCCCTCCACAGAAGGAACTGTCAGGTACACAACAGGCACTCATAAAAAAAAAAAAAAATCCCACCATCCACCTGTATGTACAAACAGCCTGGGTTTTATGTCTTCATTATACTGTAAAATCATTTCACGTCTACTCAGTAACTACACTGAAATTCCCTCATTTGTGGGAGAATATGAAGAATAACAAAAAACTGGTATTTGAAACCAGCAATGAGATCCACTGTAAGAGCAGACACAATTGTTTGGACTCTCACACCGGCATTTACTTACTTTAAGCACTAAAAAAAATGTGGACAGATTTTTTAAAAATCCACTAAGTGAATAACATACAGGTTGTGTCATCAGCAAAACAAATGCCAGGAAATTCAGAGCTAATAGATTTACATGGTAATTAAATCTGCACATCTTCCCAACTTGCTCAGGTTACACAGTTGGAAATGCTGAAGTTCATGCTGAGCAAATCTTATAATCCATCCCATTATGTACACATGTATGCACACATTTCCATTGCAAACACTCAAATATTTCCAC